TTAGTTTACCTGCTGACAGTAAAGACGGAAGGTTGCTCATCAATCCAACAGTTCCACTCTATAAAAGAAACAGTACCAAGGCTAATGAAACCCAAAAAAACTTTGAAGCTCTATATTGCACTGGGAACTCAAAACTGCGATAAAAAGAGAAGGATAATGATTTGAAATTGATTGAATGTTCAACTGAGAAGGAAATAAAGTCAGTTAGTATTCTAACCCCAATCATCTCTGTATTATAAGACACTAACGATTCCCCAGTGAAATGATGACTTGATTGGGAAAACAAAATGGATCTTGTAGCTCAGCTAATAGTGTAAAGTCCAAGACTAGTTAATAATTTGAATCCCCCGACTACTGTGATTATCATTTCCCCTTCAATCATTACAGATCACATCAGCAGAAGTGTACTAACTCAAGGTTATTCCAGCTATTCTCAGACAGGATGAAACATGTGATTTCGATTTCACTCCTAGTTACCACAAGCTAAATAAAATCACATTAATCTCAAAGCATAAATGAAGCCTCCATAATAGTCGCTGCCATGTCAACAGGTTGTAATATTAGATAGTTTTATTTTATTTTTTTATTTTTGATTACAGTTTGATTCCACACCGTATTTTTGATACAGGTATGGAATTTTCAGAATGTGATATCGGTAGTCAAATTTTGCAGGCCAACCATAGATATCAGGTGTGCTTCGTCGGCAGAAGATCGAACTTCGGACCATGTGCATGATCGGCGAGAGTCCTAACCGCTGTGCCGCCGACACACAGTTGGAGGCAATCGGCCATAGGAAGCCTTCGACCTAGGTTACGTGCTAGTTGGCACTCACACCAGTCAGCAAGGCGTGTCTGCAATCTTGGAGGAACTCATGTGCCTCCTTCTGAGATTCGAACCCGCGTCACCTAGTGAGTACTGCAGTCGGAGACATTACCACTGAGCTATTCGGGCTCGCGATCGATCTCCTGTAGGACTGTACTGAGTATTTGCATTGGACACCAGTAACTAATGTGACGTGTCTAGTCCTTTCTTTGATGCAGATTGAATTCTATCAGTCAGTCAGGTTTGCAATGTGGCCACCATTCTAGGTAGCTCGCCATCACGGTACACATTGATTTGATGATATTAGGTAGTTGAAGGAAATCGGTACACTAGTTACTAGTGTCCAATGAGGTTGTAATATTACTTATTTGACAATGGTTACCATTAGAATATAGTTGAGGCGTATTTCTCCCTGCTCGGCACTCGTCAGCTGGATATACACGCCCTTCAGTGAGCGATGATTGTTCAACCGAAACAATGTAAAGCCAGTACCTATTGCCTCGAAACGTTATCCACGAAGGTCACTGGGCCATAAGTGCCACTTCTTGTGCAACTGGTATGTTAAAACTGCAATATTTGAAGCAATAGGTAATGTATTTGAGCCCCAACGGGAACACCATTAGCCCTGCACTCACTCACTCACTCCATGGAAACCAAGAACACCCAGACAATGAACACCAAATAGGAAGAGACGCTGGTCAACTGGATTCTACTGTTAAACACAATCAGACAGATAACTTGGACTTCCTAATCTTGATAATACCAAGATATGTGTCAAAGGAGATTGATATACCAAAACGAAACCATCCAATACAGTCAGATATATCAAAGAGACATCTAAAAAGCACACCAACAAAATAATTTCAAATCATAATATTATTCGAGTGTTGACCTTTAAGGATTTATTGATTTCAAGGCAGATTACGCAACAAACCGACATCATTTGAAGAGTGAATGAAACTTCGACGGTTATAGATAAACATTTTCTCCAAGGACCATCAGGTTTCAGCCCACTACTGGTTGAATGATAATGTGTATTTCCGTCCCTGGTGTGGTTATCAGAGCATTTTACTGTAGAAATTCTGACCAGGAAGGGAACGGCTACCTACCCCCTACACCTTTATTCTCAATGTTTCTCTCATTAATGTCAATTTGAAAGTTATGAAGACACTAAAGTAGACGCACCTATAGTCAAACATTTCTCTTGTGCATAAAGTGAAACCCCAAAACACCTTCGTGCGTCAGGAACAAAATGAAGTGAATCGCAACTAATAGGAACACAAATAAGTGAGGAGAAAACAAAAGAAAAACAATAATAGTGATAAAAATAAAAAGAGTATAAACGGAATACATACAGAAACTTAATCATCAAATATGTAGAAGCAAATAAGGTTGTTGTTTTTTATTCAAGAGCTGCATTGTAGGGATTCGATCTGAATTGATTTGATTCAAGTTTGATCATAGATTGATATCAGTTAGAAAACCACTAAAACAAGCAAAGAGTATTGGATAGATATTTCGTCCCCGCTAGTTTGAGACTCTTCATTAGTACGTACTCACTGCCAGGCTTCGAACACTGAACCCTCCGTTTGCAAAGTGAGCTCATTGACCATTAAACCACTGGGATCAGATCCAATAGCCAGAGCATGAATTCCAACTTCTTCAGACAATTCACGACATAGCGCGACTGGCATTAGCCAGTATCATCCTTGGCGAGTATTTATCCTCACACTCAGTCACTTGCTGTACCCCATTGGTCAGTTACGACTTCTCACCAGAACCCAAGTGATTATACACTTGAATAGGACCAGTTGCCAGTGAACATCACATTGGTAATCAAGTGTTGGTTTGCAAGGATTTGATCATTATTTCATCATTGGCTAACATCAGTTAGATAACCATTGAAAAACTTGGGAATATTATATATATGTAATATATGATGGATTATTGGCCGGTAGAAAACCCTCTGTAACATTCGTTTTGTGCATATTTGCACAGTTGGGCATGATAGAGAAGATTTGCAATTAGTAGTGTTCTCTGAGGAGCTGGTTGGTTCAGTCGCGGAGCTTTCGTCATTTCCCTCCCATCTGGACAACATCCCCCCTCCTTCAGCGCAATTTTTAGAATAAAGTGAACTGATTTAAATTCTCCACGAGTGACAGATAAAATTGCGTCTCCCTGTAACTATCTTTAAATATATGTATTGATCATTTTCTGTTGATTTTCTGGTCACATGATCTACTTTTTATTAGTTGGTATATTTCATCTATATTAAAGTGTTTGTTAATTGCCTATTCGTTTGAGCACCAGGCTTGTAGGAATCTCTGGTAGTGGTTTTGGTGTTTCCTCTATCTAAAATTTCGACATTATCCAAATCATCAAACTGATGTCCATAATTATCATTGTGCATTGATATGAAACAGGAATATATATCATGTCTTTTCATAGCTGATTTGTGTTCCTGGATTCTGATTCGAACGGGACGACGCCCACTTCAGCGGATGTAATTTTGTAAATGGTACACTTGGACATGATTTATCTGTATCGCAGAACCTCCATTGATTCGAATATGTCACCCATCACCCAGAGCTGTAACCAGACAAATCACCACTGAGGTACATATATTACTAACTGATAGACAAGAGTAGCTGGACGCCCCTAACCAGGATGGTTGCAGCTGACTCGACTCTCTGACCTGAAGCAAACCGGGTACACAACTGAGGAGGTCGGGTGGAAACAGCCATCCGATGATTAGACAACTTCGATCTGCTTAGCAAGCACTACTAGTTGATGTTGGTGGCCTGTAACTAACTACTCATGTCACTTCATCAGTATTATATAGTGTCATGCATCAGTAATTAATTGAGAATAACAGATAAATAGAACAGTAATCTCCAAGTATTGATTTGTGGAGATTTGATTGATTGGTTACAGGATTTCGTCATGAACTGACATCGGTTAGAGAACCATTGGAAAACCTGCCAGGGAGTACTGGACAGCTGTTTCTTCAGAGTGGTTTGGGACTTTTCATCGGTACACACCCAAACACAGGGGTTCGAACCCAGGACCCTCTGGTTACAAGGCTAGCTAGCTCGTAGATCATTAAGCCACCAGGACCCGATCCAATGGCCAACCGGTCCATGAATTCTAACTTCTGCCAATTCACGACATAGCGCGACTGCTAGCCAATTTCTTAGGCGAATATTTGCAGCAGGTCGGTTGTGAGGAAAAATGCTCGCCGAAGACATTGGCTAGTGCCAGTCATGCTATGTCGTGAATTGTCTGGCAGAAGTTAGAACTCATGGGCTGGCCGCTAGATTAGGTCCCAGCGGCTTAATGGTCTATGAGCTAGCTCGCTAACCTTGTAACCAGAAGGTCCTGGGTCCGGATCCCAGTGGGTGCGTACTGTCGAAGAGTCTCAAACTAGTCTGGCGAAACAGCCGTCCAGTATTCATTCCAGGTTCCCATTCCGATGTCAGCTCATGATGAAATCCTGTAACCGAACATTAGTCTCTCATATGACATCAGAAGATATTAAAAGCATACTCATTGGCACTTCTAAATAAAGTTTATCCTGCATTTTAAAAGAAAATTTATATTCACCTCAATTGTATGAACCTATAAATAAAAACTAGGACTTGAAGTTATGTGACACAATTTCGGCTTAATATCCCTTGTTCATACTATAAATTCAGCTTTTAAAATATACATAATATTGTGCAATATTTGACGACATCAATGTATATAACTAAAAAGTTAAACAAAAATCAAAATATAAACACCACGCTAACTAAAAGATAGATAGACGGACAGACAGACAGATGCACTAGGTGAACGGACAGGGGTATAGAATGTAAACAGACAGGCACATATGATCAGACACAGAGAGAGAGGGATAGGCAGACAGACAGATATATAGAAGTAGGTAGACAAACAGACCTGGGTGGATAGATAGATAGATAGGCAGACAGGTACAGGTGAGTAAACAGACAGATGGCTAATAGACAATAGATGGATAATTAGACAGATAGATATATAGACAGGCAGTATCAATAAGCATTCTAAATATATATATAAAGTCATTACAAAGTGCTAGAGGAAAACACCCGAGCTACATAAATCAAAAATAGTATGTGCTTTGTATATAGTATTTATCAACTATTTTATAGTGAACAAACCTTAGGCCGTCTCTAAAAATAGTAGAGAAATGCAATTATTAGAGAAAATTATAATGAACAGCATAAATAAGTAGCATACGCGCATTGATTACATTTTAAGACGAAACATTCACTCTGTTAACTGTTATATTACATATTACTATTTTTCATATACTCTGAAAGACAGTATCACCAGTCACTCATAAATTTAGGCGCTCGCTCGACTTTTAATCAATACGTCATTGGTTCGAAACCTGATGATAGACAACTACTTTATGGAATAAATAAGTGGCTGTTGAGTGAAACATACCACTTCAATGACACATCTCCACTTTCTCCTATTTTCTGCCGTCCTCTTCATCTGGGTCCAAGATTGACCTCCTCCTCCTCCTCATCATCATCAGACGTTCTCCTCCATGTCACACTCAGATCGACCACCCACTCGAGTAATGGCCTGCATTGCGTGCGATGTCATTCGACAGCCTACTCCATGTATGTCTAATTCATCCATCTTCATTCACTCCTACATATTTGTTGAGCAATAGACTCTTGCCTGTTGATTTGTTCCCACACTTTCTTGTTACATTAGACTCAGTGGTGAAATCCTTCCAGAAAATAGGTAACACATCTTCAGTATACACTGAGTGGTCATAAAGGGGTGAACCATCATAGTGTATTGTCTCTTGTCCATGAGTGAACATGAGTAAGGAAGCTGGGGACTTGCTCAAAGATAAAAATCTATATCAGCAGATCACGAAAAATTCTATCCAAACACAATTATTATTATTATTATTATTATTGTTAATCCCTTGGGTTCCGAATGAGACATACCCCTTCAATAACACACATCTGCCGTCCTCTTCAGCTTGGACCACAATTGCCCACAATCTCTCATCTACTCCTTCTCCTCCTCCTCACCAAACGATCTCCTCAATGTCACTCCCACATCAACCACCCACTGGTCGTCGCTTCCTATTCGGATTCCACTCGAACGATGGCTTGCATTGTGCGTGATGTCATTCAATGGCCTCTTCAACGTATTTCCGATCCATCCATCTATATGTTCTCCTACATATTTGTTGGGTAATTGGCTCTCGATTGTTAGTTTGTTCCCGGCCAGCCAGAAATTCTTCTTGCTAATTCTTTCTGGTCGATTGGCGAACCATTTGATCTTCAGTATGGAACCAGTGAAGGGGGGGGGGCAGCTGTTGATGAAAGTCTGCAACAGCCTGTTGGAAATCCTTTATGTGACGCGGAAAGTTTCTGACCTGTATTGAAGGACCGATTTGACATTGGTGTTTAAAATCCGAATCTTGTTGCTTATATATGCTGACTGAGTGCAGAAGATTTTTAAATTGGCTTCAGACTGATGAAGGCGTTTCTTGCCTTTCCAATTTTTGGATTTCGACATTTTCATCCATTCCGCCCCCCCCCGTGGTTGAAACGATGCTTCCTAGTTGAGTGAAGGTAATAACCTCTGTTAAATCTCTCCTGTTGATGGGGATTGATGTCGGTTGTTGTTGTTGTTGGTTGGTTGGTTGGTTATCTTCACCACCTCTGTCTTCTCTACGTTCACTTGGAGTCCTGTCTTCGCTGTCTGCTTGCCTGCCTGCCTGCCTCTTATGCCAATTTTCTGCTATTCGCCTGTCACTCTTCGAGTGTATGTGACATTAAACATATATCATTCACGCACGAACTCCAGATCTTCTAAGGTCTTCTTATTAGTGGTCCAACATATTCCTGTCTTCTCACACCCTGTGCACAGTCTGACGCATAATCCAGTCCACCACAATTAAGAATATCATCGTTGGCGATAATAGGCAGCCAGCCAGCCTAGTCTTACTCCTATATTCACTTTGGACACCTCACTGAGTTTTCGATTTGGATCTCCTGACACGTGGCATTAATTAACGATTAATTAATTTCAATTAAATTTTCATCACAAACCACGCTGACTTAAAGAATTGTTGAAAACTATGGCGTAAAACTACTAGACAACAACTACCTCATGTTAGATATGGGACTAATCAGCATTATACGCCAACAAGGTTTGTTCACTTCCTTCTACCCAGTGACTGAGAATAGTTATAACTTGAAGGTCCTAGGTCATTGGTGTTCAGTGTCGAAAATTCATTAGCAATGGGCAAACAGCTATCCACTACTGTTTCTTTGGCTTTCAATGATTCCATGACTGATCCACAGGCTTGTGATAGGATCTACACTACAAGACTTGCTTTCATCAAGTATCTGAATACCACTGCAGTTAGTTGTTCTATCATTCTATGCATCTCTGATTTCAACTGGTAGTTACGCTTACGTGATCTTTGACTTTGTCAGTTCTTTTGTGTACATGTACTGAATAAATCATCGGCTGGATTAATTATTCACTGTGTTTATTGATTTTTAATTGATTTAAGTTTCCATTAGTGACCTAATAGTTTAATGGATAGCATTTTGGCGATTAAAATACTACAAAATGGAAGATCTACAAGCGAAAATCACCCATTTGATAGAAGATGCAATGAAGATAGGACTTCAAGAGGACGTAAAAAAAAGACAGATGTGATGAAGACGTCTCCCCAAACAACGACAACAACAACAACAAGTATCAATCATCACCAACAATGGGAGGAATCTTTCACTTTCGCCTAAGTGGTTAGTATCGTTTCAACTACAAGCTGTAGGGAAGAGGATGTTAAGGCTAGTCAGGGTCGGAAAAGCGAGACAGACCATCAGAACTATAAATCTAGTGTGAAAATTCACTGCACTCAGCTCTAAATATGGTTAAGAGATTCGGTGTGAGCTTCCGAAAAAGCATTTTCAACACATCACACCACATACCTTCATCACTAGCTGCCTTTGTGGGCTTAATACTGAAAATCAGACGGCCGCACAGATACAGTGGGCAATAAGCAGAGCTCTGGGAGTGAACCAACCAACCATAAGAATGATGACCAACACATGTAATCAGAAAGAAATGGAGATGGACGTAACGTATGCTAAAGATTTAATAGTGCGAAATATTCCCATATTATGAGTTAGAAGTCAATCTGAACGAAGAATATTCTTTTCAATAATTTCTCTCTTCAGGTTCTTACAGTTATAAAAGAATTATAATATTTGTTGTCGTTACAATAATGGCCAGTTAGCTATGCGGTGGATACATTTTTTCAACGTAGAATAACAGAACAGCAGTTATGGGGTGTCAAAATAAATATTCGTATTTGTGTGACAACCGTCGCGCTAGGCTGAAACGGGAGACAATGGTGGTGATTGATCATAATAGATTGTAGAGTATGGGGTAGGAAAATTGACAAGTCAGTTCAAGGTTATAGAAGGTGTCAGGTGAGTGAGTGGCTAGTACAAAGTGGTCTGTGTTAAACAGGAGATAGTAAGACTGGAATGAGAGGTTCATAATGAAATAACGAATATGTTAAATGAAACAGGTGGAGGCATATATTGAGAAAACAGATAATATCACTATTGATAATAAGTCCGGACAGTATAAATGAAAAATTCGATAATATTGAGGGAATGTTTGCATGAAGGGCATAAATTATGACGAATAATAATAATTTTAATTGTAATAATGATATTTGTAAAAATAAGCAAAGGAAAAAAAACACCACAAGGGTTAAGGGGAAGGAGCACTCTTGGTGAGAAGAAGAACCATCAATCCAAGTTTGACCACGATAGAAACAGTGTCAGGACGTGTTCTTTTTGGATAAAAGTTCCGGTTTAGTCGATCTTATTGCAACAGCTTCAGCTATGTGTAGGAGACGTAAGCGAACTGTACGTGATAACGATTTCGGAATTCGGTATATAACCTGAAAGCTGTGTTGACATCGATACGATGTCCAGAATCGACCAAGTGTGACAGGATCGAGCTTTTTATGCACTTAACGCCCCTCCCCCCTATTGATTTTGACACCCTATAACTGCTAATCTGTTATTCTACGATAAAAGATATCCGCCGCATAACTGGCCTTTATTGTAACGACAGTAAATATTATATTTTATAATTGTAAGAACCTGAAGAGGAGAAATTATTGAAAAGAATATTCTTCATTGAATTGAATTTTTGATTTTCCCGTCGATTGATTGGACCGAAGTGCTCGGTCTCAGGTTGACATGTCGGCTTCTTGTGCAGATGCTTCGATGATGTCTGGGCATTTAATTAGTATACGATTGGTGGATGGTGGCTAGCAGTGGAATCCAGGATGCGCATTTCGTCCTATTTGGGACTCGTCAGCTGGATGTACCTGCATTTCTCAGTGAGTGATGATGTTCCCACTGAGGCTCAAACCCAGTGCCCATAGTTTCAAACGCCAAAGCGTTATGACCCGTTGCACAAGAGGTGGCTCTCGTGGCCCAAGTGGTCTAGTGGATAACGCTTTGGCGTTTGAAACTATGGGCACTGGGTTCGAGCCTCAGTGGGAACATCATCACTCACTGAGAAATGCAGGTACATCCAGCTGACGAGTCCCAAATAGGACGAAATGCGCATCCTGGATTCCACTGCTAGCCACCATCCACCAATCGTATAAGAATATTCTTCGTTCAGATTGACTTTTAATACGCTAAAGGACCTTAAGTGGAACTGGAATAAGAAAGGACGAACTGGATGTCCTAAGTTGATATGCGGAGAAAATGAAGGCTTATGTGCCAAGTCTGCAGAGAATTGTGTAGTGAAATGTGTTGCTCAAACCTTATGTTCCATTCGGAACCCAAAAGAATTATATATATATAGAATAATCGTCATTAACAGATTAAGCTAAAAAAGGGCGACAATGGAAAGTCAATCACCAAAGAGGTGGAACAGAGAAAGCACTGGTTGAACACTTCAAAAGACTTCTAAATCGTCCGCCACCTACAACACGTCCAGCAATACCAACAACGGAAGCAGAACTACCAGTGAACACTGACCCCCCGACGAAATCAGAAGTCCTGAATGCAATCAAGATGCTTAAAACTGGGAAAACACCGGGACCAGATGGAATCCCAGCAGAGGCTTTGAAAATAGACCCAGAGAC